AATAAGAAATGAAAATCCTACTCGTGACGCAAATTCTACTCTACATTGCAAGGTGATTCGTAATTCTTACATAATAACATTAAAAGTACAATGTAGAGTAGAATTTGCGTCACGAGAGTAGGATTTTCATTTCGTATTTTCGTTGGTCGTTCGGAATCCTACTTCATCTTGTTTTTTTTTAATTTTTTATGTTCTTGTTATACATGGTATGTGTACATGTTAATTATGAAAGTGCTTGCCTTTGTTTTTTCTACATATTTTTCTTGTGCTTTCCAGAGGCTTTCCTTCAAAGTTGCTATCTGTCCTTCCTTGTTCTTAATGTCAGTCTCTCTATCCTTCAATAGCATCTGAAGCTTTGCTACTTCTCTTCTTAGGACAGACACTGAATTACTTGCACCTAAGGGAAAGATAAATTAAAATTAAAATAATAATATATAATTAATGTACTGTACTTATAATTATCATACAGTACCTTCTTTCTCTCTGACCAGTGATTCGTTCAGTTCTTTAGTTTGTTGTGTGCGTACATTTTCTCTACGGAGAGTCGATAGTGAGAGTTTTTGTTGATGATAAAGTTCTTCAAGGAGCAGGTGTTCCTTCGTTAAGGACTCAAGCTATACATACATGAAGGGGAAAGTGTGTAAATTTATTTGTACATCAATAATTTCATTCGAAACATAATTCTACAAAAAACAAGCTATTATTACTTCTTGAATGGCCGTGTCTCAAAAAATTGAAGTTGGAATCAGCTCAAACTTTCTACACAGCATAAGGACATGAATACGTATCAGAAAATGAAATAAAAATTTGGAGTGATTTTGAAGCCATTTTTTGAATAAAACTAAGTCCATGGTTTTTTCTAAAAATTGGCTACTTTCATTATCAAAGCATTATGCTACTGGGCCCACTTACAATTACTAATACAATAAGTGAATAGTTGACCTCAGCCTTTTCCTACATTCTCTATCTACTCTAAAGGTTGAACCAACCAATGCTAGTACAGTTGCAATAACAATAGTAAAACCACTAATAAGAGGCCAATAACCATGAAACAGGTGCAGGATCTAATGGAGTGAATACACTGTACTATAACTAACAGACACTGTATTAACATTATGTGTATGTACATACATATACATGTAAAACACTCACTTCTGCTTTAAGATTATCTCGAATGCTTTGTTTAGCCTTCAACTCATCAATTTTAGTTTTTGATGCAAATTCCTGCTCTTGACTTCTTTGCAATGACTACATGTACAATAATAATTCAATGAAATAATACGAATTATTAATATTATTTTCTCTCTCTCTCTTCCTACTTGTGATAGTTCATTGTTCTTTGCTTCAAGTTGCATCACTTGTTGTTGAAGTGTCTTTATTTTCTCATGAAGTCCTTCTCTCTCTTTTAACAACCTGTTAACCTCTCTTCCTTTATCTCCCACCTTTGTCTCTTTCTTTCCTTCTACTTCTCTCTTTAAACATCTTATGATGTCCTCCTGCTGGTGTAGTCTGTGCCGCTACAATAAATAATAATAAATATTAATAATAATATCAAGAATATCTTACTAGTATGTGTTACAGTTAGTATCCATTCAGTCATTTAGTTAAAAATGCCTGTTGAGTGGCTCTGGATATTAAAGCAGTGATATAGTATGCTATACCAATTAAGAGAACCCTCCCCACCACCGTGTACTCTTGGTTATGCTATTATAGATGTAGGTTATGCTTTATTCTGATGTTATCAGCAACCTCCCTCTCTCCCATTGCATCTAATGCTGCTACTAATGATATCCAGTTTGATCCACCTCCTCTTGTCTCTCTTACTCCATCCTCTCCCTTTAGCCAGGAAGATATACACTCCATTAGACACTCCAATACTTGTCCTCTGCAGTTTACTTCAATTGCACTCAGTGTGGGTTGGTATAATCCTAAGTACAGGCCTAACTGTTTCCAGTTGTTAGCATAATCAAACTGTTGATTTGATGTTAATTCTTGAAGGACTGTAACAAGATCTCTAATATCTGCATGAGTATATAATAATAATAATAACACTATATACTCTCTTAGTCTTACCAAGCAGTTTATCAGTGAGTGTTTCTTGTACTTCATCATTGATCTTAAGTACATCAATATCTATACATTATATTAAATACCAATAATACTTGATACATACACATAATGTTTGTATAGTTCAATGTACAATAATTATAATAATGTTTGTTAATGAATGATGTGTACATATCTTACCAGACTGTCCTTTCTCTATTGAAGTACTTCCATGTTCCTGAGATTCATTCAAAGTGTTGGTTGTTGTTCCTTTATCTTTATTATTATTACATTTTACTCCTCCATCTCCCTACACACACAATATAGTAAAATAATGATAATGAAGAGTGTTTCTAATAACTGTTACCTTAATATCACGTCCTCCTAATAGTGACAGGTTACTAAGTAAAGGTTATACAACGAGGTGGAGGTATCTATGGCATTTATCAAACCGAGGGCCGTAGGCCCGAGGTATGATAAGGCCATAGATACCGACACAGAGTTGTATAACCAACTTCTACCATGTACTAAAATAAACAAATAGTTTACTTAGCAACAGTTAGCAACAGCAATGCATTCCTATGGTAGCTTTTGCGCGTAGCAACAGCGCACTATAACAGTTTGAAAAAAAACAACATTATCTTCCCATCTATGGCTGTCTCTGACATCTCAA